AAATTCTCCTTTCCCAAGCATAAGTTAATATAATGAACCTAACCGCAATTAGAACTCGGATCTCCGATTATCAGTTCTGAGGCATTATCTATTACACCACTCGCATTTGAGTGCTTCAAAAACGAAACTGCTCTCTTTTAATAATCTGAGAGAACTCTTTATATCTTCCATCAGCATGGCTGATGCTAACCCTCTGTAGAATAAACCCCTGTGCCTTCTTGTACTCAAATTTTCAAGTGACATGAAGTGAAAAGAATATCTAGAATCAATTGCTAAATCTGCATCTAAGAAAGTTCGTTCACTATGTCGAACCAGACAATGTTTCTGGCCAGAATCTTGTATAGTTATAAATCTTGCTTTGAATATTGCTGCCACATCTGGTTTGGTGCTCCAGCTATATATTTAGAGATTTCATGATAAAATCCAAAGAAGAATCTGCAATGTTATTGGACCTGACCTGGCCTCTCGGCTTCAGTCCCTTTCTCACCGCCGTAATCTATCTTCCCTGTGCCTATTCTATAAATGGCTATTGTTCTGATGAATTTTCATCTGTGGTATCTAGACTTTATCAATTTAAGCGCAGTGCTAGGTTGGCAGCGAGGCCTCATTATTTTACAGTTAAATTGGCTAGATATAAACCGTAAGTTCTATGCTAATAGTTTCTTCTGGATTGTGGAACTCCCTTCAGGTTTCTTGCTTCCAACTCAACTTTGAATGCAAAGGAAATCATAATGATTTCCTTTGCATTCAAAGGAAATCATTCTTCTGTCTTCTTTGTTCGTATTCTTTTATTGTCTTCTCTCTTTAATAGTAGTTTTCTTATATTCCCTAACATTCAGTAACCGCTTGCGTCTTAGTGGTTTTATTGCCTTGCTTGGGGTGAAATGATAAAAAAACGGAGAGGAGGATTATGTTAATCGTAGTGGGGTTCATTGATCATGACACTTTTATTGCATCTCCCCCTGGATGAATTATATTCATATTGTTATCACGAATTTTTCAGCCACAAAAACGTGCAGGGAATGTGTTCTTAAAATTGAATCCTTTTTATTACCTATATTTTTTACATTGAATTTCTGGATATTTTATCAAGAGGTATATATAAACTACAGGCAAAAATTTGGGGTCGCCTTGCATTTCTAAAAATAAACCTACCAAAAAATGAATTATTGTTGTATTTGTTTTTAGAGCAAAAGATAAAATTTCAGTAACTACATTGGTATTTCCTTTTATTTTTCAGTTTTTTTCCAGTCATCTTTTAGTATTAAAAAGTTCAAATTTGAATTCGTCTGCCCACAATACATTTTGCTAAATGATGAATATTTTATAACGGAAACATTATATTTTGTTTTCACCTTTAACCTCTTAGTAGACGTTTTCGAGAGTTGATTGATGTCAAAGGGAATCATGTATTTTTAACTCTGACTTGGTTCTGTATTGGAAAACTGATCAAAAAGTATCAGGACTATTAGTTTGGTAACGGAGCTAAAGAACACAGAATGAATCCTCTTGGCATAGATTGAACTCTGTCACGCATGCACACTAAGTGATAACGTTCTCGCTCAATTACATTGTTTATAGCATTGCATGGAAGGAAAGTGTGCAGAGTGTGGTCGTTTCACCACATCGCAGAAAACCTTTTGAAAACGGTCTTAACAGGTGACAAATCGTGGATCTTTGGCTACAACCTCGAAGGCAAGGCTCGGTCTCTTCCGTGGAAGACCCTAACGTCTTTGTGACCGAAGAAAGCGTAAATGAGTTCAAGCAATATGAAGACACTGGTCACATTTTTATGCGCCTACATAGTCATTGTTCATCATGAGTAAGATCCCCCTAATCAGAGAGTAAACAAAGTTATGAGGTTCTCGCCCACTTCCGTTGTTTATAGCATTGCATGCAAGAAAAGTGTGTAGAGTGTGGTCAGAAAAGTAAACAAGAAGTACTATAGTAGCATGTTTCGCCGTTTGCTGATGCTGTTCGTTGGAAAAGGACAGAATTGCATGCGTCCAGTGAGTAGCAACTCAACCTGATCATTCACCGCGGCTTGTTCATCAGCCCTCAGATGTTGTCCCTTGCAATATTTTCCTGTTCCCAAAAAATCACATCTCATTTGAAAGGAACTAGATTCCAAGACGCTGTGGAAATCCAAGAGAATGCGACGTGACAGCTGCTCGCTGCCCACCAAAAAGGAAATCTAGGAATGCTTCCATCAGTAGAAACGAAGCTGGATAAGATGTGTAGGTTTACAAGTTGACTACTTCGAAGGATATTAAATATCGAATTGATATGTTTTGTAGTCTTCTTTTTATAACACCAGTACGCGTATGTTTTGATTAGATTTCGTATACGAACATGTGAGATCTGCCCTGGACTTTTACCATTTTAAATTTCAGAAATTACTATTATATTATTCATTTTGATGAAATTATTGGAGGCGTGTTTATTCAACGATGCCCTCATTAAAATATGATCGGCTTTCATCTCAAAACATACCATTAGAAACAATGAGTAAAACACCCATAAAAATGGTTTAACATTATAATGAGAACATTAGACAGAATTTAAATTAAGAAACTAACAGATTTTTTTATGCCAAAGTTAAAAAATCTGCGATTCGCCTTCTTCCCAATTTAAGAAATGGTAATTGCTAACTACAAACGAAAAGTCTTGGGTCATTTGTCTCAGGAGGCGTCATTCATTCTTACTTTCTTTCTTTTATTTTCTTCTTTCTTACTTATTCTTTGCTTGGTTCTTTCTTTCTTTCTTTTAGTTTTTTTTTTTTTACTTATTTTTGCTTCTTTCTTTCTTTCTTTCTTTCTTTCTTTCTTTCTTTCTTTCTTTCTTTCTTTCGTTCCAGCCGCTACATTTCACGATTTTATTCTTTATTTGTTGACATTTTTTCTTTCTTTTACTTTCTCTTTTTCCATTGTTTTTTCTTTCCCTTAACTTCTTTTCTTCTTGCTTTTCTTTCTTTCTTTCTTTCTTTCTTTCTTTCTTTCTTTCTTTCTTTTTCATTCCTTATTTGTTGTCGTTTTTCTTTCTTTTACGTTCTCTTTCTCCATTGGTTTTCTTTCTTTTTCTTTCTTCTTTCTTTTTGCTTTTGTTTCTTTACTTGGAGCTTCATTTCTTAACATGATTCTTTATTTCTTAGTCTTGACCGTTTTAACTTAACTTCTTTCTTTCTTTCACAAGAAAACTGAGCAGCAAAAATCACCGAATCCAGAATCATACTTATTATAAAACCCAGGTTGTGTGTGTGTGTGTGTGTCTGTTCGATTATATATTGGATCGGATTTCCTACATTTTTCAACCGATTTCAACAAAACTTCACAGGACTATGAAAAATTACATTGCAGTGGTTCTGACAGCGCCAAAAATTGGAAAAAAACACAATTGTTTTTGCACGAAATCAATTTGAAACACGATTAATAGGCATCGCGAGAATGAAAGGGGGACAACTCATATCGAGTTATACTTATTATAAAACCCAGGTTGGTTGTGTGTGTGTGTGTGTGTGCGTGTGTGTGTGTGTGTGTGTGTGTGTGTGTGTGCGTGTGTTCGTTTATATATGGGATCGGATTTCCGACATTTTTCAACCGATTTCGACAAAACTTCACTTTTTGGGGAGCAGGTAGTGTTTCTTATTGTCTTGCACACTTTTTTTCTTTATTTTTACATTCAGAATGCTTTAAAATTCCATTTACAAGACAATTGTTTATAATAAAATTCTATTCAATCGGCAGACTCATAACGATTGAAAACAATGTTTTTTTTGAGATTGGGTTTGACCAATTCTTAAAAAAACAACAACAAAAAACTAATTAAGACATGCGTGTCCGTCAACCTTAAACAATAATCTTTGTCAATTTTATTTTTCAGTCTTTATGATGGTCGATACTTGATCTATCTCTTACTGTTACATCCCCGGGCAACGCCTGGTTCTACTGCTAGTCTCTAATAAAATCGTCGAGGCTGTGTTACAGCGCTTCGCGTACCAAAGAAAACCACATCTCGACACAAGGGCCGTAAATGGGTGATCGACTCTCTCAAATGGAATGAGAGAGACGCAGAGGTGCCATATAATTCAATAGATCAGACTTCGAGAACGTTATCTCATAAAAAAGACTTCTGTGGAATATCAGTCTGCCACCGAAGCATCCAAGTAAATAAAAAAAAAATACGTACTAGAAGTATAGGTAATACAAATAAACTTCAGCAGTGGGAAAATAAATTTTTGTGATCATTTTTTTACTGCTTTGATTAAATTTGCTTAGTGGATCAATTCGAAATTTTAATTTATTTATTATAATTACTCTACAACAGCTGGACCAAGTAGCAAAGCGAAATCGCTATGTGTCTATCTTTTACTTATATTATGATGTGGATTTGGGGTTATTAGAGACAATCGCCAAATAACATGTAACAATAAAAAGGGTTTTAATAGGTTGGTAAAAAGTTACAGAAATCGCCTGAGTAGTCAATAACTAGCTCAGCTAAGAACTTATCTGTCTATCTGTCTTCTTTTATTTAAAGTCTTTGTTCGCAGACAAGTTCATCTTCAAGAGGGGTGGTAGGTTTCAGACACAACAACTTAGAATATTTTAATTTAATTTACACCGGCTTAAGGTAAGTGGGTCCGTTTTAATTCGACTTGCGATTTTGAAGATCTTACTCTCTTTTGGATATTTAAAGAGGACCCTTTTACGAAAACAATGACATCGCTAAGAAAGTTAAATGAGGACACTTCTGCGCACGTTACGACAAATTTAAAGCGTGTTCATTAGCTTGTATATGTTCCGATCTTTCAACGCCTCAGCGTTAACGGGCCTTTACAACGTCCTGTTTTTTTGCCCTTTATTCTGACATCCAATAACTTACATTTTACATATCCACTAGACTACCGGTGACCCGTTGGTCAGTTCATAAAACATTAAAGCTGATATCGACATTCCATTGAAATGAAAATGTGTTGGTAAAGAAAAAAAAAAGCAAAAGAAAACAAATAATGAGTGTCAACTTCCGGTAGGAATAAGTCTGCAACAGATTTGTCTCTCAACCGCAACACTTGTAGCCAAAATCCAGTTCAACGACTGTCCGGCGTAACCATCCAACAGGCCACGTAGAGAACGCCCCTGTCTGTCCCAAAAGACGGCCCGACCATAATTTACATACGAATCACTAGCCAACGAGATTTCGCGTTAGTCGTCCGAGACCACCTGTCATAAAACATGGGCGCCGCCATTTTGAATCTTTTTTCAGCCGGACTTTATATGACGCATAGATTCGTGGACTTTTCCAAGGTAGGCCATTCTTTTCTTTCCTCGTTCGTCCAGTATTTTATTTTGCCAGGGACTGTTGCTACATTTGCGTAAGCGTCCACTATTCTGCTTACATACGCATGCCACTCGTTGCCTCTTAGAACGGTGAACTGTAGTCAGTTCAGCAGGACCCACAGACTGCTGCCTTTCAGTTCCGCTACAGAAAGTTAACTTTATTATGATTCAGTTAAATATTTCAATTCATTCGTGCCATCCTTGGTTTGGTTTACTGATTGTTTGCAGCATTTAATAGGAATAAAAATTCCAGGATAAACATAAACTTTAAATCAGATTAAATTAAAAATATTGTTTAATATGCAAAAAAATATTTTAAAATTACGAGGGTCATTCAATAAATAAGGTGAATTTTTCGGTATAAGGACTTCTAATTTTTTTCAACGTAGTCTCCCAGCACTGTCACACACTTTTCCCATCTGTGCACAAGCTTCCGTATTCCCTCAGCTTAAAAATCTTTGGACTGATGTCTCAGCCAGTCGCTCACAACACTTTTGACTTCATCGTCACTTTTAAACTTCGTGCCTCTCGTGAACGCTTTCAAGGGACCAAACAGGTGAAAGTCTGAAAGGGCAAGGTCTGGGCTGATGAGGGAGTAGTTCCCAGCCCAGCTCGTTGATGGTCTGAACCGTTTGGATTCCTGGTGAGGTCTTGCGTTGTCATGATGCAAGATGACTGATGACCCCTGCGTTTGTTCTTTGTCTTTCTTGACCTGCCTCAGCGGTTCACAGTAGTTGGCACTGTTCACAGTGTTTCCTTTCTCAAGGAATGAAATGGTGATTGGGCCTTGCATATCCCAAAAAACGGTGAGCATCACCTTCCTCGTGGACCGCTGGGACTTGAACTTCTTCGCTGGAGAGCCTACGTGCTTCCACTCTATGGACTGCCGTTTGGACTCTGGGTCATATTGCCAAACTCTTGTCTCGTCACATGTGATCACCTTCTTCAGAAACTCATCACCATCCTTCTCATAGCGGGAGAGACACTGCTGGGACAACTCGACCCTCCTCTGTTTATGCTCTGCAGTAAACATCTTTGGCACCCACAGGGCAGCTGACCTTCGAGTAGCCAAAATCATCATGGACAATTTTGTGTGATGTCCCAACAGATAAGCTCAAAGTCCTTGCATTGTCATCCACTGTCAACTTTCTGTCAGACTGAATGAAGTCATTGACTGATTCGATTACCTCAGGAGACCTCACTTCTGTAGGCCTCCCAGGCCTGTCTTCATCCTCAACACTGCTCCGTTCTTCTTTAAACAATTTAGCCCACTTGCAGACATTTTTTGGCTGAAACATGTGGCACCATACAGAGTTGACATTCTCCTATGAATTTCAACTGATTTGCACCCTTCAGCAACCAAAAACTTGATAACTGACCGCTGTTCAATCCTGGAGCATGCTTCTTGGTCGGCCATCTTTGTTAATCGCCAAAACTCTCAAAGTTTTTTTTTTTTTTAATCTGCAAAAGAATTTAAATCCATGTGAAAAAGAAGTAAAACAAAAAATTTAAAAAAGTAAGCTTCTATCTGTATTAGAAGTCCTTATACCGAAAAATTCACCTTATTTATTGAATGACCTTCGTATATTCATTTGAACATATTTTTAAATATGCCAAAAATATTTTTAAATGTTTAAAATATTGTTCGTTTAAATAAATCTAAAATATACATAATTACAAACAATTGGACGAAACGGTAAAGCGGGATCTCTTTGTGGCTGTCTTTAATTTTAAAATATTTTAATTAAAAAATCGTTTATTTGAAGAAAGTTAAAAGAAATTACTTATTGTATAAACCCGTATTTTTAAATCTTGTCCACTTAAAATATTTTTAAATCAGATTAAGTTTAAGATATTTTTTTAAATATTTAAAATGGACGAAATAAAGGGTTCAGTTCAAAATTCCAATCACTTGATGAAGGTCGGGGCGTACAACGGCCGAAGCGTTGTAAATATGGCAATAAAGATGAAGGCATCAATGTAAATAATATGAATAATTGCAATACCTCTTCTCAGAAATAGAGACAGAGAATTTCCTTGTTTGGAAACGAGTCGACAACTTCCCAATCTGCAAGATTTAAAACGAAAACGTTTAAGCGTCGATTCCATTCGAAAAGTCGTTATCGATTACCTATAAATGTCAGAAATTAGTCTTGTAGTAAATTCGAATTTAATTTACCGTTAAGCGGATTACGCTTACCGGCACTAATTAAATAAACGTCGGCCTTTGATCATGATCACCGTGTTGAAAAGAGCATCGCTTTCAACGATACGAGTGTGATATTCCACTGCTCTAATAAAATCCTCAATATTTGAGGTAATAATTACAATTTGGATGCGTCCTAAAAAAAAAAAATCTTTTCAAAGAAAAATGTCTATCAAAATTAGTAGGGAAGACCATTACTAATGTAATCTTATCTTATATGACACAAAATTCATCCGCAGTACAGTAATAATCAGATTGATCTTCACTGAGTACAGTAATAATCAGATTGATCCTCACTGAGCCGACCGCTTCATAAAAATAAAGAAAAATAAAGCCCGTTCATGCGGATCTTATAAGACATAAAATTCATCCGCAGTACAGTAACAATCAGATTGATCCTCACTGAGTACAGTAATAATCAGATTGATCCTCACTGAGCCGACCGCTTCAAGTACATGCACTCGGTCAGGGGAAAGAGGGTATCAATGTCCGCATTGATGCGGCCCCTGTTGCGCTCTCTCGGCTTAGGACTCGGCTGGGGTGAAAATCTGAGATCAAAACAAACACGAAAGTACGGATCTACCAGCCTCTGGTCAGGACCATCCTTCTCTACGGCTATGAGACGTGGCGCGCGAGAGCTGGAGATCTTCATAAGCTCGAGGTATTCGATTGCTTCTGTCTGCGCCGAATTTTCCGCGTCCTCTGGCAACAACTTCTTATCGAACACCGCCGACGGAAGCACGTTGAAAAATAGTTTCTATCCAGTAAGTTCTGTTCACAAGGCGACTTCGGTGGCTTGGCTATGCCCTCCGTCGACAACCGGGCAAATTTATACATGAGGCGATTGCTCTGGACCCTCCACGATGTTGGCGGAAGCAGGTGTGGTGAACAGCTAAAAACGGAACTTAAGAGGGTTAAAGGGGGCCTTGAACCGTCCATAGGTTAACCCGTGTTGGGAGTATGATTGGTTAGCTCTTACTGAATCAGCTCCATTCTACCACCGAGATTGGTCAGCTTTCGTTCGGGATGCAGAAAACTCGCATGACGGGACCGGCTCAACCGATCCAGGCCCAATGCCTCAACAAGTACAAATAAGCCATTGGGTTCTGCAATATTATATCTCTATTTATGAAAGGCAGGATGTCTGTGTGTGTGTGTGTGTGTGTGTGTGTGTGTGTGTGTGTGTGTGTGCAACGAATGCACAGCCACAATTTTCGACGGATTGGCAGCGAAATTTACATGTTAGTTAGCGGGAAGGCCAAGACCGACTTTGCATTTCCCAACTCCCATCGATAGTGGAAATAATCGATTTTTTCCTGCTTCTACGGCAATTTTCATGTAGTTTGCAGCCATTTTCTACTGGCCATAGTGAAAGCCTATAGCTGGCTGCCACGAATAGGCAGGAATATTCTATTGGCCAGCGCAAGAGCCAACAGCTGACTGACACGAATATTAACTAGCATGCCAAAAAAATAGATAGCTGCATTCGTCACAAGTGGGAAAAATTTAAAACTGCGTGGCACTTTACTCCAATTGGATCATTCGCTTGCTTAAACTCAACGTTGATTCTGATTCCGTAGAACTGGGTTGGGTGTGAAAAAGTATTTGTTGTTAACATTCTTTTTTCATTCGGTTTTTCCAGTTACGATTCCTTTTTTTAAAGCTGTTCGTTTTGTGTTCATTTTGTTTAGTTTTTTTTTCGTAACAGATTTAATGTTTAGTATAGAGCTTAGAAAAAAATTCGCAGTGTGAGATAGGCAAGAAGTAAGGCATGTAGCAACGTCAGCACGGCAAAGGGCACTCCTTTAAAGGCAAAAAGGGCAAAAATATTTTAAGTCAAACGATAGCGATTGCTGTACGAGTCGTACGATTTTCGAATCAAGCACGGGCAACGTCGGGCCAAGCTGCTAGTACCAGCTAAAATGAGAAACTTCTCTTACAACTTATCAACCATTTGTAGATTATTTTAAGCCAGAAAATATTTTTAGATTGTAAAATTCGGGGTGGGGTGGATAATAATGATTTAGTGATACAATTCTTGCTAATTAACCCATAGCTGGAAGAGAAGGGATGGATTCATTCCTTTCCAAAGTGTATTGCTCGTTTGTGAATATAACTGTTGTGGATTCCGGGTTGAAATCCGGTACAAATAAATAACAAACGCCAGGAATGAATATAGGAAAATAATGTATTAACGTAATAATACAAACTGGTAATGCAGGTTAGTAGTTCCAGGAATGCGGGTTAGTAGCAAAATATCTATACAGTCTTTGGTATTGAAGTATCGCTGTATGACTTCTTACTGAGTCTACGTGCTCGCTCACGGTGACTCTTGCTCGCAACGTTCGTTCTGTCTGTCTGTCTGTTACCTTACTCTCACTCTTCCGGTTTCAACCTTTCACTCCCCTTCTGCTCTTGCTCTCTCTCTCTCTCGTCTCCACGTAGCAGTAGTATATGTATATACTGGTTGAGTCCATTTGTGTCAAAAGGGGTGGACCCCTCAACAATAACAATCAAAAATAGAAACTGAAACGCGGTTCTCCGATTAACAATTCCGAGCCATTATTCATTACACCACCCGCGAATCCAAGCTTAAAGCAGACGATATTCCTAAGCTGTAACCCATATAGGTGCTGGGCTGTGTTGAAAAATAAACCTCGTTCATGCGGATCTGATATGACACAAAATTCATCCGCAGTACAGTAATAATCAGAATCTTAAATTCTTTGGAAAACGACTAAGACATTTTTACTCAACTAATTGGATTATAATTATGTCTATGTCACTTTAAAATATTTTAATTAAAAAATCGCATATAAATATATATAACAAAAAAATTTCGCAGATTTATATCTTTTCAAAATTTAAACAAAATTCTAACTGAATCGATTTGAACAAGAACTTTAGCGTCGCGACATCGCGCACTCCAAAAACATATATTCATCTGTCAGTAAATGGCATTATTAAAAAAAAAAAAATCTTTCGGTCTACACATATTTCCTTTACGTGTTTGCCTATGTATGGAAAAAAATTGCACCCTGAAGAGACAATTTGAAATTGTCGAAAGTACGTGGGGATTGTCTTTCATCTAACAACAGCTCAAATATAAGGATCTTATTCAAAGAATTGATAGAAATGTAATGTCTCATTAATTTTTGTTAGCGAACTGATTTCGCCATCAATCACATTAACTTTGCTATTTAATTCATTGTATAAATTGCTTATGATATAAAATATAAGCTGCACACTCTAATATATATATATATATATATATATATATATATATATATATATATATAAACCAACACTTAGAACGACAGTCTGTTTCATGCTAGATGCAATCGTGGCCTGACGATTGCATCTAGCATGGCAACTAGTCCTCTCTAAATGTTGACTTTATATTCACTTTTATATTTACACGCTCTATCTCTGATATTGAGCACTTTATCCATAAATATAGCACATCTTAAGACTATATTTCTTCATATATATATATATATATATATATATATATATATATATATATATATATAGTAGGACTCGTTTGGAAAACCTCGGATAGTTCAACTTGCAGATATGTCAGGACAAATCGGTACTGAAGAAAAATTGAAACAAAAAAGAAGAACTAAAACCATCGGAATAAGACGAAACAAATCGTCAATTGCCTTAAGTCTTTAGTCCAAAGAAAAAAAAAACAATCAAACTAGTAGAAAGACTAACACGTAAAGTGCTCAATACGCTAAGTAGAGCGATAAACAAGAATAAATCCTAAGGAGCCAGGCAAAACCTACCTAGGTTTCAATTAAACGGATCTTCAGGGTAAACTGGCTAAAAAGGGAAATGACAGAAGAGTATTTATTGATAAAACCATTAAAAACTAATACGCATTAAAACCACATGACAGAAGAAGAGAAAAAGCAAGTCCCCCCCACCAAAAAAAAAAACACGTGACAGAAGAAAAGAAAAAAAAAACAAAATCCCCAAAGCCTTTATTCTAATAACCAGACTTTTCTATGCCTAAACTTATTAAGAATGTCCGATCTTAGATTTAACAAATTTTTAGGTTCCTTATAGATAACGATAGATAATTTTTACTCCATACATAACGACCAAAACCTGTCACCTGCCTTATATTTATAGCATTTTTTAAAAAAATATTTCCCATTTCAAAAAGGGGTCACTGTTAGCTTCTTGTTTTGTATTCCATATATATATATATATATGGGCATGATGGTACTATGTTTATAGGTTTCATGATTAAAGCTACTTAGGTGGTTGTAGTAACGTTTTTTGAAGCTACCCTGGGTGGGTCCTATATAAACTTTGGGGTTCTTAACAGTCTTATTCAGTTCATTTCTATGTATTTTGACTTTGTAAACCACACACTCCAGTTGGCACCTACCCTCAAGTGGACATGTAGATATGTATATGTGTGTGTGTGTGTGTGTGTGTTTGTGTGGAGAAAGTGTACGTCTGTGTATCGTATAATTAGGAAGTGAAGTGGAGTGTTCCATTTTGTTTCCATTTTCTATAAAAATTCATCGTTACTCCCGTGTTCAGGACATTCTAATCTCAGCATCCTTCTGTAGATGATGGATAACATTTTTATTACATTTCTTCTTTTTCTCTTGTTTCTTCTTTCTTTTTCTTCCTATCCTCTTCTCTCTGCTCTTTCAGCCATTTCTTATATTCTTTTTTTTTTCTATTATTTTCATTCTTTCTCTTCTTTTTTCTTTCTTTCTTTTGTTTCCATTTTCACGCACTTGTCTTCATTTACATTATCTTCCATCCACTATTACCATCTTTCCCTACTTTTTTCTTAAGATTTTTCATCTTTCTTTTCATTTATTTTTTCTTTCTTTCTTTCTTTCTTTCTTTCTTTCTTTCTTTCTTTCCCTCATTTTTCGTCCAGTTTTTCATCTTCACCCTTTCTTTTTTCCCAATTTCTTTATTTCTTCTATTCTTTTTCCTTTTCTCATATTTTTCATCAATAACGTTATCTTATATCCATTATTTCCATCTTTCTCTTCTTTTTTTTTCTTTTTTTTTGTTTCCATTTTTTCAACTTTTCTTCATTTACATTATCTTCCATCCACTATTACCATCTTTCCCTACTTTTTTTCTTAAGATTTTTCATCTTTCTTTTCATTTATTTTCTTTTCTTTCTTTTCTGTTTTTCTTTTTTCTTTCTTTCTTTCTTTCTTTCTTTCTTTTTTCCTCATTTTTTTCGTCCAGTTTTTCATCTTCACCTTTCTTTTTTTTCCCAATTTCTTTATTTCTTCTATTCTTTTTCCTTTTCTCATATTTTTCATCAATAACGTTATCTTATATCCATTATTTCCATCTTTCTCTTCTTTTTTCTTTCTTTCTTTTGTTTCCATTTTCACGCACTTTTCTTCATTTACATTATCTTCATCCTATTACCATCTTTCCCTACTTTTTCTTTTTTCTTAAGATTTTTCATCTTTCTTTTCATTTATTTTCTTTCTTTCTTTCCTTCTTTCTTTCTTTCTTTCCCTCATTTTTCGTCCAGTTTTTCATCTTCACCCTTTCTTTTTTCCCAATTTCTTTATTTCTTCTATTCTTTTTCCTTTTTCTCATATTTTTCATCAAGAACGTTATCTTATATCCATTATTTCCATCTTTCTCTTCTTTTTACTTTCGTTTTTATTTTTCTTTCTTTCCCTTTTTTCAACTTCCTTCTTTCTTTTCATTTTCTTTCTTCCGTTTGAATTTTCATATATATTTCCACATTTACATCATTTCTTTCTTTCTTTCTTTCTTTCGTTTGTTCGTTTCAATTTTCATATATATTTCTTTATTTACATAATCTTATATCCACTATTGGCATCTTTAGCTGTGTTTTCCTTCAAATTTTTCATCTTCTTTCTTTCTTCCTTTTCTTTCTTTCTTTCTTTCTTTCTTTCGTTTGTTCGTTTCAATTTTCATATATATTTCTTTATTTACATAATCTTATATCCACTATTGGCATCTTTAGCTGTGTTTTCCTTCAAATTTTTCATCTTCTTTCTTTCTTCCTTTTCTTTCTTTCTTTCTTTCTTTCTTTCTTTCTTTCGTTTGTTCGTTTCAATTTTCATATATATTTCTTTATTTGTTCATTTAATCTTATATCCACTATTGGCATCTTTGGCTGTGTTTTTCCTTCAAATTTTTTCATCTTCTTCTTTTTCTTCCTTTTCTTTCTTTCTTTCTTTTCTTTCTTTCTTTCTTTCGTTTGTTCGTTTCAATTTTTCATATATATTTCTTTTATTTACATAATCTTATATCCACTATTGGCATCTTTAGCTGTGTTTTCCTTCAAATTTTTCATCTTTCTTTCTTCCTTTTTTTCCTTTTCTTTCTTTCTTTCTTTTTTCTTTTCTTTCTTTCTTTCGTTTGTTCGTTTCAATTTTCATATATATTTCTTTATTTACATAATCTTATATCCACTATTGGCATCTTTAGCTGTGTTTTCCTTCATCTTTTTCTTTCTTCCTTTTCTTTCTTTTTTTCTTTCTTTCTTTTCTTTCTTGTTTCAATTTTTTTATATTTCTTTCTTTCTTTCTTTCTTTCTTTCTTTCGTTTGTTCGTTTCAATTTTTCTTTCTATATTTCTTTCTTTTTACATAATCTTATATCCACTATTGGCATATATTTTTCTTTTATTTACATAATGTTTTCCTTCAAATTTTTCATCTTCTTTCTTTCTTTCTTTTCTTTCTTTCTTTCTTTCTTTCTTTCTTTCTTTCTTTCTTTCTTTCTTTCTTTCGTTTGTTCGTTTCAATTTTCATATATATTTCTTTATTTACATAATCTTATATCCACTATTGGCATCTTTAGCTGTGTTTTCCTTCAAATTTTTCATCTTCTTTCTTTCTTCCTTTTCTTTCTTTCTTTCTTTCTTTCTTTCTTTCTTTCTTTCTTTCTTTCGTTTGTTCGTTTCAATTTTCATATATATTTCTTTATTTACATAATCTTATATCCACTATTGGCATCTTTAGCTGTGTTTTTCCTTCAAATTTTTTCTTTCTTTCTTCTTTTCTTTCTTCCTTCTTTCTTTCTTTTTTTTTCTTTCTTTCTTTCTTTCTTTCTTTCTTTTCTTTCGTTTGTTCGTTTTTCAATTTTTCATATATATTTCTTTATTTACATAATCTTATATCCACTATTGGCATCTTTAGCTGTATATTTTTCCTTCAATTTTTTCATCTTCTTTTTTTTCTTCCTTTTCTTTCTTTCTTTCTTCCTTTTCTTTCTTTCTTTCTTTCTTTCGTTTGTTCGTTTCAATTTTCATATATATTTCTTTATTTACATAATCTTATATCCACTATTGGCATCTTTAGCTGTGTTTTCCTTCAAATTTTTCATCTTCTTTCTTTCTTCCTTTTCTTTCTTTCTTCCTTTTCTTTCTTTCTTTCTTTTCTTTCTTTCTTTCTTTCAATTTTTTTTGTTCGTTTCAATTTTCATATATATTTCTTTATTTACATAATCTTATATCCACTATTGGCATCTTTGCTTTATTTTTTCCTTCAAATTTTTTCATCTTTCTTTCTTCCTTTTCTTTCTTTTTCTTTCTTTCTTTCTTTCTTTCTTTCTTTCTTTCTTTCTTTCGATTGTTCGTTTTCAATTTTTCATATATATTTCTTTATTTACATAATCTTATATCCACTATTGGCATCTTTAGCTGTTTTTTCCTTCAAATTTTCATCTTTTTCTTTCTTCCTTTTCTTTTCTTTCTTTCTTTCTTTTCTTTCTTTCTTTCTTTCTTTCGTTTGTTCGTTTCAATTTTCATATATATTTCTTTATTTTTTCTTTCGTTTGTTTGTTAATCTTATATCCCTATTGGCATCTTTAGCTGTTTTTCCCTTCAAATTTTTTCATCTTTCTTTCTTTCTTCCTTTTCTTTCTTTCTTTCTTTCTTTCTTTCTTTCTTTCTTTCTTTCTTTCGTTTGTTCGTTTCAATTTTCATATATATTTCTTTATTTACATAATCTTATATCCACTATTGGCATCTTTAGCTGTGTTTTCCTTCAAATTTTTCATCTTCTTTCTTTCTTCCTTTTCTTTCTTTCTTTCTTTCTTTCTTTCTTTCTTTCTTTCTTTCTTTCTTTCGTTTGTTCGTTTCAATTTTCATATATATTTCTTTATTTACATAATCTTATATCCACTATTGGCATCTTTCTTTCTTTCTTTCTTTTTTCCTTTCAAATTTTCATATATCTTTCTTTCTTCCATTTTTCTTTCTTTCTGTGTTTTCTTTTTTTCTTTCTTTCTTTCTTTTTTCTTTCTTTCTTTCTTTTGTTTCTTTCGTTTCAATTTTTCATATATATTTCTTTATTTACATAATCTTATATCCACTATTGGCATCTTTAGCTGTGTTTTTTCCTTCAAATTTTTCATCTTCTTTCTTTCTTCCTTTTCTTTTTTTTCTTTCTTTCTTTTTCTTTCTTTCTTCTTTTTTCTTTCTTTCTCGTTTCGATTGTTCATTTTCTTATATTTCAATTTTTCATATATATTTCTTTTTTTACATAATCTTTCTTTATTCACTTCCTTTTCTTTTGGCTTTCTTTCTTTCGTTTGTTTTTCCAATTTTCATTTTATTTCTTTTTTCCTTCAAATTTTTCATCTTCTTTTTTTTTTCTTTCTTTCTTTTTTCCTTTTCTTTCTTTTCTTTTCTTTCTTTCTTTCTTTTTTCTTTCTTTCTTTCTTTCTTTCTTTTTTCTTTCATTTCAATTTTTCATATATATTTCTTTATTTACATAATCTTATATCCACTATTGGCATCTTTAGCTGTGTTTTCCTTCAAATTTTTCATCTTCTTTCTTTCTTCCTTTTCTTTCTTTCTTTCTTTCTTTCTTTCTTTCTTTCGTTTGTTTTAGTTTCAATTTTCATATATATTTCTTTATTTACATAATCTTATATCCACTATTGGCATCTTTTAGCTGTGTTTTTCTTCAAATTTTTCATCTTCTTTTCTTTCTTCTTTTCTTTCCTTCTTTTCTTTTTCTTTCCTCAATTTTCATATATTTCTTTATTTATTCTTCATATTTTCATCTTCTTTCTTTCTTCCTTTTCTGTGTTTTCTTTTTTTCTTTCTTTCTTTTTTCTTTCTTTCTTTCTTTCTTTCTTTCGTTTGTTCGTTTCAATTTTCTTTATATATTTCTTTATTTACATAATCTTATATCCACTATTGGCATCTTTAGCTGTGTTTTCCTTCAAATTTTTCATCTTTCTTTCCTCCTTTTCTTTCTTTCTTTCTTTCTTTCTTTTCCCTAATTTTTCGTCCAATTTTTCATCTTCTTTCTTTCTTCTTTTTTCTTTTCTTTCTTTTTCTTTATTTCTTCGATTCGTTTCCATTTCCTCCTATTTTTCATCAATTAAGTTATTTTATATCCACTATTTCCATCTTTCCATTCCTTTTTCTTTCTTTTTCATTTTTGTATTTTCTTCTTTCTCTCTTTTTTCATCCAGTTTTTCATCTTCCTTTTTTTCTTTACTTTTCTTTCTTTCTTTCTTTCTTTTTTTCTTTCTTTCTTTCTTTCTTTCTTTCTTTCTTTCCCTCATTTTTTTCATCCAATTTTTCGTCTTTCTTCTTTCTTTTCATATTCCTTCATTATTTCTTTCTTTCGTTTAAATTTTCACGTGTTTTTTTCTTCATTTACATTATCTGGTATTCACTATTTCTCTTCCATTTTCTCCCCATTTTCATCCTCTTTCTTTCTTTCTTTCTTTCTTTCTTTTTTTTCATCTTCTTTCTTTCTTTATTTTTCTCTTTCTTATCCTTTAACAGATTTACACGGAAAATGTTCAGGATTAAATAAACCTGTGAACATTTCTCATTTAATGTTTTAACCTTCTCGTCTACTTCTCGTCTACTTCTCGTCTACTTCTCGCCAATGCCGCAACTTGCCCGAACTTCTGTCTTGTTGCAAGTTTGTTCATTTGTAAGAAAATAAGATAAAATGTATTCCTGGAGCGCATCTTTCAAACAACTGCGAGTAAATCTAGTTGCAGGAATCGGGGCATTTCTCTTTCATTGGTAACGATGTTATTTCTTCGATCTTCCTTATTTTTTAGACGTTAGTTCACCTAAAACAAGGTTCAGGAGCCACACATGGCAGAGTGTTACTGAACAAGGTTGCTGTAAGGCAAGGAGAATGAAGAACTGAGGTAAGATATCGGTTGATCGTAGACTTGAAGAAATCAAGATTTTAGACGTCAGGGACGAATCCACTCAGGAGGTTGTTTCACAAGTTCTTGTGTGGTGGGGGCAGTCTGCCTAGAACTTAATGAAGGAACACAAAGGAAACAAGGATGATTTGATACCATGTACATTGTATGGCGGGTCCTTGCTGTGAGGATCTGAGCTTGTGAAACTAAGAAATGTAGCTACTTTGTATAATTATCATAGTGATAGTTACAGAGTGTCTTGTAACGTTTCGTATGTTGGATAAAGGTTGCAGGGTGGGGAATATTTCATCACCTACAAAGCTGTGTATATATTTTTTGAACTCTGCCGAGGTTAGAAATTGAGGACTAGGCAGTATGGGCACAGATATGGTAGCCATGTTCTTATGGTTGAAACTGTAGCAAATGGTGCAGCTGTTTAAGTTAATATCAAGACGATTTCGTTTTTATTTATTTGGGGGTAAATAAATGTTAATCACGACCAATAAAAGCAATCTCGTCCAATTTTAACTTCTAAAAGGTAAGCCACTTAATCTAAAGACAATTTGATGTCCTTGCTTTTCGTACAAACAATTATCTTTACTTCGTGGGTGAATTTCGCTAGATTTCGCAATTAATTCCGATTGTTTCCCAAATTTATTGACAATTTAAAAGAAAATGTTATTGTGCAAAAAAAAAAAAAAAAAATTCGCCGAAAATAATCGTAGTAACGAAAACTTCGGGAACCAAAATTTCAGGATCTCGGATCTGGCCCGGAATATTTTTAATTTGTTCATGGAGTCGGTCTTATTCCAAAATGGTATGAGATGTTGGGCTACAGCTAACTAAGAGTAAAGTTGAAAAGACGGACAATTTTATTTTGAAACACCGTAATTTGAGAACAGTAATATTTCATCTGAACATGAGCTATTGAAAGAAAAGGAGTAGTGTCCCTTTAATTATTTTTATCAGTAGAAGCCAAGATGTAGAAATCCGAAAGCAATCATAGTAATAAAGATTTAGGAATCAAAAATTTCAGGATTGCGGGCCCGTATCCGTCCTGGAATGTCTTTAATTTGCACACGGAGTCGGCCTTGTTCCAAAATAGGATAAGTTGGGACCAAGTCAAATGTTACTCGGGGCAAGGAATGACTTATAAATTTAAAACAAAACTGCAATCATTTAATTACCATAGAGAATTACCATCGCTTATGCTAATCCCCCAGGGAACAATTTTTCCACTGACATGAAGTGGGGGGATTATATTGGATCGATTTCGACGTTTACTGCTAGGAAAGTTGTTCATTGTGTCGTGACAGATATGTTTTTTGTCAGAATTCACCTTATACGTCTACAAATATAATTTTCGATCGTGCATTGAATATTGTTGTTATGTCAGGTCTGGTGTTCCTGCTGTATATCTTGAAATCCAAAGAAGACAAAAATCCAAAGAAGGGTCTGTAATGTTATCGGCCCGGAATTGGCATCTCGGCTTCAGTCACTTTCCCCACCGCAGATACGGGAGTTTCCTTCTGCTTTTTCTTCTAATACTTTCATGCCAAGTGATCTGACACACTTTGAAAAAAAATCGAAAGAAGAGTCTGTAATATTATCGGTCCGGAACTGGCATCTCGACTTCAGGCTTTTTTCCCGCCGTAGTAACGTAGCTTCCTTCTGTCTTCTTTACAAATATTGTCATCGCAACTGCTCTGATGAGCTTTGATAAAATGGTCTGTAATGTTATGGGTCCTTATCTGGCATCTCGACTTCAGTCACGTTCCCACCGCACTGACGTAGCTTTTCTCTGTTTTTTTTCTACAAATATTGTTATGGTAACTGCTCCGGCTCGCTTTGACAAAATCCAAAGGGTTTAATATTGTCGGTCCTGACATAGCATTTCGACTTCAGTCATTTTCCCTCCACAGTGAAGTGGTTTCCTTTCTTTAAAAAAAAAAAAATCATGTTAGCTACCTTGACGCGCTTTGACAAAATCTAAAGTATGGTCTGTAATGTTATCGGTCCTGACATGGCATCTCGACTTCAGTCGCTTTCCCATCCAGGTAACGTGGTTTCCCACTTTCTTTTTTCTAATAAGTTTCAAGGCTATTGTTTTAATAACATTTCCTGCTCAGTGCCCCGAATAAATGTAATGAAGTTTATTACTAGATTGCCACTTAGGTCTCGCCGTTCTACTTTTGAACAAGCTAGATATAACTGTCTGTTCTGTTGTTTATTTTCTCGCACTTCCATTTTGTTGCTCTTCTGCCATCTGCAATCTTCAAAATTCTACATGCGACACCCATCACCATATTCTGTCTTCATAAATTCCGTTCTTTTATTGACCTTTCTCCTCACTAAAACAGACGAGCAGTAACTGAGCCGTACTGTAAAAATAATAATTAAGCGAAATCCCTAGACATGCGCAGTGCCGTGAGAAGAATCTATCCCCGTAGATTAAATAAAGGTTTCAGTTCAGAAATTCCTGTAGGTTACCCAGGTCGATAAACACCTGATGAAGGCCGGAGAGCAGACCCACCGAAACAATATGATAACTGTTATTGTCCAATATCCTCGCACCAAAGTTATGGTCCAAGGTTAGAACCAAGGAAGAACAACAGGAACACAAGAGTAGAATAACAAAGATGTATTACAACAGAAATATAGTACAAGAAGTTGAAGGTATTAGTAATGACTGTCTGTCTGGTTTAGAGTGAACTAATATTGTCTCGATTCTTTACACCATTCATTCGGTATCTAGCTACCCCCCGAGGGTTTCGTGTAGCACAAGGCCAGGTTTAACGTGGGTTTCCCGAGCCCGTAGGCTCGGCCAAAAATATACCCTTTGATCCCGCCTAGACGGGTTCAGGGCCTGTCTACCTCTCCGGACGAAACCTTGCCCTTCGGCAAAGCTTCGTCCGGGTTCCTCACTGCCAAAGCAGAGAGTTCAACAGTCATGACCTGGTGCTCGTTACACCATTCATTGTATTTAATATCCCACCCACGAGGAATATATGTGACACGAGGCCGAGTTTAAAGTGGGTTTCTCTGAACCCGTAGGCTCGGCCAAAAATATACCCTTTGAACCCGCCTAGACGGGTTCAGGGCCTGTCTACCTCCCCGGACGAAACCTTGTCCTTCGGCAAAGCTTCGTCCGGGTTCCTCTCTGCCAAAGCAGAGAGTTCAACAGTCATGACCTGGTGCACATTACACTATTCATTCATTATACCTCTTGAGAGGCGCAGTATTTATAGTGCCAGGAAGAGTCCATTATCGTTATAGGTAAGTTCCCATAACAATAAAAATAACAAAGATGAGGAAATTTTATGAAAAATAATCGCAACGCACTGCAACAGTATTTGAACTCGGCACGTCTATTCCTCATTGCTAATCGTTACACTACGCCCACATCTGTTCTCGTGAATGCTTCGATATTCATTATTGACAGTCATTTTCTTGTTCTTGATTCTACATAACGTTTTATATCCCAAAATTGAACTACTTTTATTTGTTATTATTTTTATTATTATTAATCTTCTCTGCTAGGGTTTAACCATAAAGCACTTTTCATTTACTTATTTCTGAGAATTTCTTCGAGTAATTCTTGTACTATTATAAGCAGGATGTGTAGAATTTGTGGCCTTGTCATTTAACAACACTCCCCAATTGATCCCTGTTTGCAAAGATTTCTTGGATTGTTTGTAGGCTATTTATTAGAGTAGGGTTTCAAGGCCGTCTTTCTGTTTTCAGGGATCAAAATTATGTGAAGTTGCTTTGATATTTTTTATTCTGGCAACATCACACAAGACAAAATGGTTAGGATTTTCCTTTCTTGTTTTATTTGTTTATTTTTTGCATTATTCACATTGTTCGGAATGTTGTCCTCATTGTTGTTGATATATTCACGACGTTTCGGCCGTTGTACGCTCTGGCCTTCCTCAGGTGATTGAATTTTCGAACGAAATCCGTTATTTATCCACCAAGGTAGATTGTGCTAGTTCCACGTGCCATGCTCCTTCTGGATATCTCACATCTCTTTGGGTCACGTTACTGGATTAAACCAACGCTTTTATCCACTGGGCCTTGTACCCTTGAGGACGTCAGTGTATGAATTTTTGGGAGTTATAAACCTTATGTCCTTTACTATTTTTACCATAGCTCATTACAATTTTATTATTATTATTGTTTTTTCTCTAGCACTCCGTAATACTGATTCATATAATGTACTAGCAAGAGAGCCCGGCGTTGCCCGGGGATGTAACAGTAAGAGATAGATCATAGTCGCAAGTCGAATTAAAACGGACCCACTTACCTTAAGCCTGTGTAAATTAAATCAAAATATTTTAAGTAAAAGATAGACACATAGCGATCTCGCTTTGCTACTTCGTCCAGCTGTTGTAGAGTAATTATAATAAATAAATTAAAATTTCGAATTGATCCACTAAGCAAATTTAATCAAAGCAGTAAAAAAATGATCACAAAAATTTATTTTCCCACTGCTGAAGTTTATTTGTATTACCTATACTTCTAGTACGTATTTTTTTTTTATTTACTTGGATGCTTCGGTGGCAGACTGATATTCCACAGAAGTCTTTTTTATGAGATAACGTTCTCGAAGTCTGATCTATTGAATTATATGGCACCTCTGCGTCTCTCTCATTCCATTTGAGAGAGTCGATCACCCATTTACGGCCCTTGTGTCGAGATGTGGTTTTCTTTGGTACGCGAAGCGCTGTAACACAGCCTCGACGATTTTATTAGAAATTAGCAATAGAGCCCGGCGTTGCCCGGGGATGTAACA